TGTCTCCAAGTTCACCAGTCGCACCTGCCCCAGCCCCAGCTGGTACAGACTTCCCACTCCCCTGCTCCCACTGTCCAGACTGAGCACTGTGGAACAGTGTCCTTGGCTATCAAAGCTTATGAAGGGCAGCTGTGCTATTGTGGTCCCATTGGAGAGAGGGCTGCAGTATGGCCCTGCCTGGGGGGTGTGGGCAAGGCTGAGGAATCCCCAGGGCCAGGGCTGGCAGGGCCAGGTTTGCCTCCATTCCCTGGGAAGGGCCTTGTGCTGTCCTTCTCCAGAGCCAAGCATGTGTAGATGGCACAAAGGTGCCTGCCCCAGGAGGTGTCTCCCCTGTCAGTGCCTTGGCCACTGCCCTGAGTGCCCTAGCAGCTACTGCCCCAAATGCAGCTTGTGCAATGAAAAATGCTGGGCAGGATGCGGGGTATGATACAACTTTGGCCTGTGCCAGGACATTTCATGCTGCTCCCTCCCTGCAGGGAGTGCCAGGCACAGGGCTGGCAGAAGGCAGTGACAGAGCTTCAGGGCACCCCCCTGCCAGCTGCACACAGCAGCAATCATTAGGGGCCAGAGCCAGCGCAGTTATGTCCTAGCTGGCCAAGGCACAGGCTGCAGGAGGCCTGGGCCTCCTCTAGGCTGGTGCATCACTGAGGCCATGAACAGGCCCCTTCTCCATTGATCCTGGCTCTGGGGAAGCTGCGTGTGCCCTGTGGGGCCAGTCTAACCCCCGCCTATGCTCCTTCCCCAGGCAGTAGCAGTGCACTGCTTGCTGGGCTTCGGCAGGACAGGAACCCTGCTGGCCTGTTACCTTGTGAAGGCTAAGAAGATCACAGGGGTTGATGCCATCCACGAGATCCGGAGGATTCGGCCCGGCGCTATCGAGACACACGAGCAGGAGAAAGCCGTCATTCAGTTCCACCACCGCATCAAATAGCGGGCACTGCAGGCCCGCCCAGCCCACGGTCCTGCTGCATTGTGGGCACCAGAGACACTGGACTGCTCGGGCACTGGCACTGCAGGGTGGGCTCCTAGGCTGGGGAGGGTGGGAGCCCTTCTCCGTGGCAGTGGCAGAGATGCTGGTCTATGGGTCTCGCTGAGTGCCTGTGCCACCTCCAGCCCCTCCTGCCTGGGGGGTGGCACCCCAGCCTGTGTGCTCTGGGCAGAGAGCTGAGAGGAGGTGCTGAGCACAGCTGGAGAGGAAGGGAAAGGGGAATTGTAGAGCAGCATCTCCCCAGCCCCTTGTGAGCACCGCACTGCATGAGCTAGACAGTAGAGCCCCAAGACAGCAGGGCTTGGCAGTCCCCTGCACTGAGACCTGCCCAGATCCTGCCATGAAGTCCTTAGAGAGAGAAAGCCATGATCAGGAATCCCCTGGAGCTGAGAGCTTCCTGCATGAAGCAGGTCCTCACGGGGAGCTGAGCCAGACTGGGCTGGGCAGTGTGGGGGATCTTCTTTGAGCTGCTGCAAACACTCCTGCACCACCCTGAATAAAGACAGCTGTGTGGTCTGCACTGGTGTCTGTGTAGGGGCCCCTGGCTGTGTGGTTTGCTCTGGTGTCTGCATAGGGGCCTGGCATAGCACTGCTCTTCCCATAGACAGGGGCACAGCACACACGTGCTGCATGTTTCAACGGAGCCTGGGCAGGTCTCATGCTACCAACCCAGGGGCAGTGGCTGCAGGAGGCCCCGCTGGCCGCTATATCGGTCAGGCTGGGCTTTGGTTCACAGGGCAGCACGAGCACTTGCTGGGGCCCTCAGGCAGTGCACAGGGAGGCAGTGCCCTGCTGGCATCGATGCTGTCACAGGTCAAGCAGCTGTGCACCTGCTTTCCGCATGCAGGGTGGCTTCTCCAGCGCCCGCAAGTAGCAGAGCCTGCCCAAGGCTGGGGTTCATTCCCTTCAGGGTGTCTCAGCCACCAGTCTGCAAGTGAGTGCACTGTAAAGCCATGGAGAGCCCAGAAAAGGGGAGTCAGCCCCCAAGGACAGACCATGAAGCCTTCAGTGCCAGCCTCCCTCCTGAGGGCAAAAGAGGGACAGGGGCTGCCAGTTCAGGGCTCCAGACTGCCTGCCTCTGCCTCAGTGACACAGCAGCCATGCACTCACTGCACCTGGAGGCGCCAGCACTGCAGCAGCAGGCCTTGCACACAGCCCATGGAGCTGCTCCCATGCCAGCTTGGAGCAGTGTTTGGCATCTGTCTGGCTGAGCTTGACAAGGACACTCAGGGCTCTGAGCCACATCAGACTGACTCAGACATGCGCTCATACCCCAGCACCTGTGTTGAAGCCTGCTCAGGAGCACTCCCAGGGACTCCTACGTGGCTCTGCCACCCCTGGCTGCAAGGTTTCTCAGGTCAGCTGAGGACAGCAGCAAGGAGGTAAGACTGCAGCCTGTCCCTGAGGGTGCAGACAGTCCCCAGCCTGCAGGAATTGCACCCCAAACCCCTCCCAGGCTCAGCTGTCTTGTGCACCCGACATCCTGTGTCATCGCTGCCCTATCACCCTGGTTTGTGCTGCATCCCAGCCATCTGCCCCCAGGGAATCACCCTGCCTTGGCTGCCCTTGGGCTGGGCAGGTGCTTCTCCTGGGCAGCCCTGGTGCTGAGGCAGCAAGCATGGCCCCCACCACTGCCTCAGGGAGGTGGCACACCCCCAGTCCAGATGAAAGGCCTGACTGCCAGCTTGCCAAGTAGCTTCTCCAGCCTGCTCCCCCGCCAGCCCCTTTGACAGTGCTGGGGATTGTAGGCGCCAGTGACTGGCCCCCTCCAGGGCAGGGATTAGGGGAGCCAAAGGGTCTCAGACTGAGGCCATGACCCAAGGCCTCTGGGGAGCCTGGGGCTTGCTGGAAGCTCCCTTCTGCCAGGGTGTTGGACTTGTCTGCTTTGCCTGGTGCAGTGGGGGTTGATGGTGTCTGTGCTGCTCACTCCCATGGGGATGCATTGCCATTATTTCTCCTACGCTGCACAGGCTGTCTGCAGGCCGCTCCTCACACCCAGCCCTAGCGGTTTGCCCTCACTGCTTGGGTCAGCGCTGGGTAAAGCAGCCCCCTGCCTGTCCTCCCTGGGCTGGGCAGGGCATCGACAATGCCTCCTCACCCCACTGCTCCCTTTGGCGTGCAATTGGGACATCTTGGTATTTCAGGGCCTTGGGGGTGAATTGGCTGTTTGGGGGCTTCTGTGGGTTCCCACCTGCCCATGAACATAGGGACTGGATGCAGCCACCCCGGAGGCCATGGTGCTTAGGGAACTGGAGAAGGTCTGGGTGTGGCCGGGCCCATGCTGCCACATGGTGCCTTCCCTCTACCATAGTACCCAGCTGGCGCTGGCCATGTCCTGGCCTAGTGCAGCTCTTCTGCTCCATCCTGGCAGGGGCAGGGGGCATCAGCATTTCCTGGAGCTGTGAGTACCACCAGCACCTGCTCCCTGAGATGCTTCTGTTGCAGAGCCTCTGTTGGGGAGTGCGGTGGCAGGGGCATCTCCAGGACTGGGGTAAAGGGTTCAGAGGGTGAGGGGCAGTCTGGCAGAAGCAATCATGTCAGCCCAGGGGCTGGGTCTGAGTAGGTTACACAGGGCAGGACCCGCTGGGGCTGGACAGTTGTCTTGTACAACTGACACAGGGCTTCCCCTGTGCGAAGTGTGGTGTTGTGGGGTGGCTGGTGCTACTGTGGGTTTTCTCTGGAGCCATCACAGCTTCTTTTTAGCAATATCTGCAGCCTGGCACACAGCTTGGCATGAGCACCCAGCATGGTGCTGATCCCTCTGCACCCCCATCTCATCCCAACCCAGCTGGCACCAGCCCCTCAGCTGCCCCGGGCAGCTATTACTAGGTGCCAGCCTTTCTCCAGCCCTGTTATTTGCCCAGAGTCCCAATTGCTGGTTCTCCTAGGCAAGGCGCTCGGAGCACTTGCACCAGGCACCACCGCTCTGCATCGCTACTGCTGCCCCAGGATCCCAGTGACAGATGGTGTCTGGGCATGGCCAGGAGATGTTCCCAAGGCAGCCTGGGGCCTAGGCAGCAGGGAGCCCACACGGGCCTGGCCTTGGGGAGCAACGCTGGCCGCAGGATGCGGCAACACTGTGGCATGAGGGACATCCTGCCCCAGGGCCTCCTGAGCTCACTGCCCCTTGGAAAGGGAGTAGGGCCAGGACTGGAGAGCACTGCACCCTGTCTGCTGGGAGTGCACTTCTCCAGCTTCCCTGCATGTAAGCAGGCACCATCCTGACCCTGTAGCAGGCCTGGGCTCTGCTCGTCCTGGTGTCCCACTGCCCAGAGGTGCTGTGATGCAGTGGCCTTTACAAAGAACAGGCTCCGACCTAGGCTCGGGAGACAGGCAAAGTCCTCCTGGCCCAGAGCCCTGGGAGAAGGGAGGCTCCTGGTCCACACTGCTGCAGAGAGCAGCATCCCATCCCATCCCCACCGCGCCCCTTGCATCTGCATTGTGAGCACATCCCTTGGACCCCTGCCCACCGACCTGGCACAGGGCAAGGGCAGAGCCTGTTTGTCTCTGTTGGCAGCGTGGCCCCGTCTCTGTGGGAGGGACGCCCCAGGCACAGGGAAGGGACTGCCCTCTCCTGTGCTCCCTGTGGTACTTTCTGCTGTGCGGCTGGGGTGGAAAGGCCCATCCCTGCCCCACCCTGTGCTCAGCTGCAGGCAGTCTGTGCCAGTGCATCCTGGCAGAGTCTGCGCTCACTGCATCCGGGCTCTCAAATCCAAGGGAGTGGCTCTGGCTGCTGGCCACAGCCCTGGGCTGAACAAAGCAACAGGAACAACAAGAGGGGAGGCCGAAGGGAGGGCACAGGGGCTGCCAGGGCAAGGGTATGGGCACTGCTGCTGAAGACCCGCACTCCACCCAGGGGATTGCTGGAGCACTGAGCACCCACCCCTCCATCCTGGGCCTGGGTCTCCAGCCTGGCACAGCCAGCCAGGCAGGACTGGGCCTCCCTGACCACAGACTGGGCACTCAGCCCTGGGTGCTGTCTAGAGATCGGTGCCTGGCTGCACAGGGGCTCAGGCCTTGTCTGCGGGTGAAGTCCCTGCAGGGTCAGAGAGATCCACGTTCTTGTGTGCAAGGTGCGCGGGTGCAGATATTGTAACAGTTTTGGGTGGCCAGCGGGCCTTTGTATGGGTGCATGGGTGTGTATATTGTAACAGGATCATGGCGTGTCACTAAGAATGTAGATATACATAACCTTATGTATAGATAGATAGATAGATAGATAGATAGATAGATAGATGTTTATAATAACCCCTCCTCCCCCCCGCAGGGGCTGTGCAGTGACCTATGGACCAGGCATGGGAACAGGTGTTGAGCTCTGAGGCCAGAGGGCCTCTGGCTCTGTCTGCTGCATGTTCCTCCAGGGAGGCCTTCTGCTGGCTTGTCCAGGAGGCAGGTGCTAGCTGCACACAGGCTCTTGGGCCTGAGCAGCCCCCAAGCTGCACCTACCAGTGCTGCAATGCTTTGCTCTCCTCCCCTGGCATTGTTCTGGGGCTCGGGGTTATCTGTCCTCCAGGGATGTCCCACTCTTGGCCTGTGCTTTGTGCATTGCTGCTGAGCCTGCCCCTCCCTTACCCATGCACAGCTCAGCCCTTGACTGGAGACTGGCAAGTGGCCTCTGCATCTGGGAGCTGCAGGCTGGGCACCAGCAGCTGAGCCATCCATATGACTGCTGAGGGGGTACACTGGCATTGTAGCTCTCTCCTGGCAACGTCCATGTCCTGGCCAAGAGCCCAGCCAGCTCCAGCTGCCCCTGGGGCTAGGACTAGTGCAGGCTAGGGCTGGAAGGCTCAGGATGCAGCCTGGGGCAGGCAGGCTCAGCACCGCTCTCGGGCTCAGCCACGGGCAGGGAGGCAATCATAGAATCCCAGAGCAGTGGGGCTGGAAGGGAGCTCCAGAGGTCGCATCTAGTCCAGTCCCTTGCCTGGGGCAGGATCAGCCCTGTTCAAACCCACCCAGACACATCACAGAATCATGGAAAACGAGGGTTGGAAGGGACCTCAGGCCGTCACATCTACTCCAACCCCTGCTCAAAGCAGGACCAGCCCCAACTAGATCCTCCCAGCCAAGGCTTTGTCTAGCCAGGTCTTAAAAACCTCCAAGGATGGAGATTTCACCACTTCTCCGAGTAACCCATACCAGTGCTTTACTACCCACCTGGTGAGAAAGTTTTTTCCTTATATCCAACCAAAACTTCCCTTGTTGCAACTTGAGACCATTGCTCCTTGTTCTATCAAATCTATAAGCTAAACTCTTATTAAAACTACCATCAGCCCTGACACAATACAAAACATCACACCCAAACCTGCCGCAGGTAAAGCAGGGGAACCACAGCAGCCAACATCCTGCTTCTGTAACAGGTTGTTAGTATACACTCAAGAGATCCCAGGTAAAAAGCTATGCCCCCACTGCAGAGGAAGGCAACCAACTCTCCCCCAGTCCATAACAATTCGACCAGGGGATAAAATTCCTTCCTGACCCCAATGCAGCGCCCATCTGAGCCTGAATGGAGGGACAAAACCAGCGCCATAGCAAGTGAGTGGGGGTGGGAAGCAGGGCAACCGCCCCAAGCACCAAAGCAAATGGGCACTAACCAGCACTCCCCAGCCGGGGCGGGGCATGGGATGGAGCTGTGAGCAGTTCATTTCAGAGGGTACGGGATGGGGGAAGGATGGCTTCTACCGCTGCATGCACCCCCAGGCAAGCATTGGTGGGGGGGCATGTGCCCCCTGAATCTGTGTGCAGGGCAAGTGCGGGCTGCCGCTGCAGGCTTTGCCCCGGGCACCAAACTTCATTGCCACAGCACAGGGCAAGACCCTGTAGCTAGGAACCTCTGGGTTTGAGTCCCAGCAGGAGCATTGGCAGAGGCCAGTCACAGCCCCCAGCCTGGGCTGCAGCCAACAGCCAGTGCCTCTGAAGAAGGCTTAAGAAAACCTTGACATAGGGAGGGAGCAGCCAGTGAGATGCAGAAAGCAGAGGGAAGATCCAGACCAGCCCAACCAGCCGGGTGAGAACCAGCCCGGGCAGGGGAGGGGAGAGGCCAGCAGGGATCCACTGGAGAGCAAAGTCTGGGGGTGCGGCCGTATGCACTGGGGGCAGACTGTGTTTGTCCAGCACCTGGCCATTACCCAGCTGGCAGCTCTAGCAGATGCACCTGTCTGCCCAGGCCAGGAGGGGCCAATCTGCAAGGGACGGAGGAAGTGTCTTCCCTGGGCTGTCAGTGGGATTTGCTCCTGAATCCACCATACAGACCGGCAGTCGGGCTTGGCTGTGAAGCCCCCAGTGCCCTAGAGCAGCACCTCTGTACCTGCCCAGTGGCATCTCAGCTTTCCCAGGGCCAGCCATCTTACTGGCCTCACATGCTGTTTTTGCTTGTACAGCACAT